CTTGCTTATCCTGCGTGCTCAACTAAGCACTAGCACACCGGGGCTGCAAACCACTAGATTTCTCAGCAAGTGGTCTCCTTGCCCTCGGCCTGGATTCCAAGGCAGCACGTCGGCGCGTGAAACTACTGCTGCGCCTACTGAAGACATAAGGACTCTGCCGCATGGGGTGGAAGGGAAAAAGGCAGTAACTCCATTTCCCGGCGCATAACTCGGTGCCTCTGAGAATCAGAGTTGTGCCTCCCGCCCCTCAATCCAACAAGCACCCCAATTCCTGCCGGACGGCTTTGGGCGCCTTCGTCACGCCCCCTGATTTGATGTACGTCAGTGCCCTCCGACCGAACACACAGCAGCCTTCCCCAGCTTGGTGCCGTGCAGGTTAGACTACAATTCCCAAAGTCCTAGCGGCCATAGCTAACGACCGCGAGACTTGGGAACTATGGGAAGTGTAGTCCAGTAATCTAGAGGGCACCGGAACAGAAAGAGAAATGCTGTTCGATTCCGTTCTTTCGCCTTCGCAGCCTCTACTCACACGACCATCCCGTTCTTTTCCATCTTGCCCTCTACGCTGCAGTCCGCGTCTTTTTCCCGCCCCTGCTGCCTACCAAAATAAAAAACACCCCTCCCCTCGACTTCCGGATTCTTTTCCCGGCTACCTAATTGGTGCTTGTAGGATCCTCCCAAGGCTTGCGTCAGAAAAGCGGGGCACTGTTACCGTAATGACTGCTGTGGTAGTTCCGGGGCAAAAAGGGGAAGGCTAGCGAAGGGTCTGTTCGCACGACGGTCTGAACCATAAGCTGATCGTACGGGCTGGATTCGACTAACACTCATTTAAAATATGACTGGCAGTTTGGCTCAATATGTTGTTCGAACAGCCATAGTGGAGCCAATGTACCGTGCTAAATTCATCCAAGGAATTGCGTTAATTTAATGAACCACTCTCCTGTTAACCATTTGTGCATCATGTAAACACCGTTTTCTGTGATGAGGTTGGGTGTGACTATATAACTTTTCAAATATCTAAATGTTATGTTTACTTAGAACTGAGTCTCTTGTAGTCAGTGAAGCTTTCTTCCAGATGAGTGTGTTCAGGATTACAGTTTATATGTTCTTAAAGAAGCAGGTCTATCAGTGCCTGTGATTTAATAGTCAAACAGTTGCAACACTCATATGACAGATTTACTAATGCATGTAACTTATTGGTTAAGAACAAGTTGAAACAAATATTGCATATATAGCAAGGAACTTTTAAATATAACCTTGTCATAGCAAGTAGACAGTCTCTATGTTGTGAAACATCACTGAATCCAAAGTCAGATCATTGACACAGGATTCTAAAAAGTCTAAAAATAAATTTAAAAATAGGGGTACCAGATCTGGACTGCAAACATCTTGACTTTCTTTGCAGCCATCTCATAATGGTCTGGATTTTTTCAACTCAGATCTGGTAGACTTAAAAAAGATCACCGAGAGATTGTATCAAGAACTGAACTTGCAACTTTATATAACAAAACTCTGGGAGTCTGATTATGAATTTCTGTACAGGACTGGAAAAAATGTATCTTACGAATATTTTATAAAAATATTCCGTAACTTACAGTATTTTGTTTCATCTTGCTCAGACTATCTCTCAACCCAAGGTTATGTTTTAGGTCAATCAATTAATTAAATTATAATTTATGAGCAGCAAACAGAGAACTGTTTTTTCATCTCTTTGCTGCCATCAGGTGGTTACCTGGATTTTTGCAGTCCTAGCATGGCAGCAAAGGGTTAGGGTATGTGTGTAAAAGAAGAAATACTTTGCTACTGGGGGAAAAAATGCTCAATTCTCATTTTTTTGCCATTTTTAATCTTTAGAGATCCCTCCACTTCCCCTCCAAAATTCTCCCAAGTGTTGAAATTATCCTCAACTTATACACATACTGCTATTTTAGCAATATAAAGCTGAGCACTTGAAAATTAAGTGTGCAATGTATCATATTTTCAGTGAGTTGTGGATTCTCCAGCCATAAAAAAAAGTTTGAAACAAAGAAACTAATAAAACTGCCTTTGACCACACCTCATATTTTTATCTATAGGATCCCAAATGGTGCTGTGGTTAAGGCCATTTTTATCTGCAAGCAGAGAGCACAGTGTATCTGTGGAAGAGTCATCCATAGTTTTTATCAGCTTGAAGCAGGGGTGGCCTCTTTCAGTTAACACAGGAAAGCATCGCACATTTCAGAGCTCAGAACTTGTAATATCCCCCACACAAATAATTACCAAGCATATACTTAATAAACATATATTTAATTACCAATATTCTGCAGAGTCATATGCAACATGCAATAAAATTGATTTCTAACATAAGCAAAACAGACCTGAGTTTAAGACTTTAGTCACCACCAGCATTAGCCAAGGCATTTTGCTACCTGAGGTAAAGTGGTAAATTTCCCCTTCACTGATGCCACATCATGGTATATCACACCCAAGATTGGCCAAGCTCTTTTATTACCTGATGTGGAGAAATCCTACCACTGCCTCTCCTTTCACGGCACCCAAAACCAGGAGATCAAGATAATAGTCTCACATAATCTAATGACATAGTTTCGGTCTTCATCTGTTTGGAAGTGCCTTGAAAAAGCTATACTATATTCTTCCCTTTGGATGAAGCCCTAAACTGGTTCCAATATGAGCTCTAAAAGTAAATGATTTCCATATTCATTTTAGAGGCCTCAGTGAAGGCTAGATCCTCAATAACATATATTAGTCATAATTTGCACACTACAATTTGTACTTTTAAAAAATAATTCTGGTAACAGCTATCTCTCTTTAAAGTTTTTCTCCCTTTGACTCAGTAGCCCACATTTGAGAAAATAATTATCCTATAAGAGTTGTAGTTCAGTGGCAAACCATTTGCTTCTACAATGTCTCAGTTCAATATTTGGCATTTATACAAGGGAGATGGGAAAAATCTAAAACCCTGGAGAATTACAGTCAGCCAAACAAAAGTGCTAAACCAGTTAGGGCAGTGTTGTCCAAACTTGGCCACTTTAAGATGAGTGGACTTCAATTCCCAGAATTCCCCAGCCAACCAGTCAGTGGCCAGAAGTGCCTCATATTGGATCAACCCATTCGCCTAACTCAGGGTTGTCCAAACTTGGCCACTTTAAGATGAGTGGACTTCAATTCCCAGAATTCCCCAGCCAACCAGTCAGTGGCCAGAAGTCCACTCATCTTAAAGTGGCCAAGTTTGGACAACCCTGAGTTAGGCGAATGGGTTGATCCAATATGAGGCAGCACATTAGGTCTCTAATCCACAGGAAATATGGTCTAGCACCTGGGCTTCCCTGAAAGCAAACTGCTTGCTGAAATATCAAGGTTAAGAGAGGTATTTCTTTCAATCATCCTAGAATGTTATTGAGAAGATAAACAGTGCTTGATTCTGGGAGAGAAGAGGCAGAGATGGCAGAATTAGCATGGGAGTCATTGATCCACTAGATTAGGAAAGCACAGGCTGGATTCAGAGACCACACTAAACCCAAAATGGAATCCATCCAGTATAATCTTGTCCTTGCAGGTTAGAAAGCTGCATGAATCCATCTGATTTTGATTTATTCAATAAGCCCAGGTAATAATGTGTCATGTGAATACAGCCAGAGCGATGTACATATAGTTCCTCAAACCAGGGCCAGTCTTATCATAAGTCAGAGTGAGTCAAAGGCCTATGAGGCACTGAGGCATTGGAGGACAGAATCTGTGTGTGCCTGTGTGTGCCTGTGTGTGCGTGTGCACACACGCATGCACGTGCCACATAGCCCACTCGGTTCGCCAAAAACGAAGTAACTGTCTACAGATATGATCCAGCAGAGGCTCTTATGTGGCATGAACATGATAAATGATAACATTAACTGAAGGTATAATTCACCATTGTTTTTTAAAATTGTTCTTAGTAATTTACT